CTCCTCCTCATGTATATGCCTATGGGACTGGTGTGTGTGAGAATGTGTGCAACCAGATCCAACATGAGCATGACGATGCTCCTCATGGAAAAAGATCAACCCAACAACATTCACGAGAAGCCCTCCAACCGAAACAACCAAAAGACTGTTTGTAGAAATCTCCTGAGGATCCAAGATTCTCTCAATTGACTCAAGCACAATCAAAGCTCCAACAAGAACGAGGAACACTGCGTTAACATAACCCGAAAGCACCTCAAATCTACCTCGACCATAGTTGAACTGATGGTTTGCAGGAAGACGGGAGATATACGACGCATACAACCCAATTGCCAAAGCAGCACAATCAAACAACATATGACAAGCATCCGATATAAGTCCAAGACTATTACTCATAAATCCAGCCACGATCTCTACAACCATATACGCCGTGTTGATCAGAAGAAATAGCGCAATACTTCTGGATTTCTTCTCGCTCAAAATGTGGCGGATAGGCTTCATAAACATGGTGGAAAACGACTCAGGTGACTCCATCCCGATCTCTTGATAATCTGAATTCACAGGTTCCAATTCTATAACAGCAACATAAAGCAACAAACCACACAACAAAGAGAAATCCATCCAAAGAGAAAACTCAGGGAAGTAGAAAAGCTCAAGAACAATGGTGCACAGAAACGTAACCAAAAACTCCTTCTTCGAGCTCGTAAACTTATCTTCGCTATAATTCTCACTCAACACAGTGGTTAGAAACAAAGACAGTAATCTCACTCGTTTCTGATCTAGCTGTTTGATCTCAATCCAATTCATTGAAACTTTCTCATAGCAACCTAAAAACCCAGATAGAAACGGAAGCAACATAGGCCAAACCCTCAAGCAATTCTCTTTAGGGTATATCCAAGATAGAGGAAATTTGTTTAGAAAGAAAAGAACAGGACATATTATTGTTATCTTAAACCCAGCTCTTCTAATACTCTCTGTTTTTACTGTTTTAACTCACTGTGGTCACTCTCTTTGTCTCAATTTATAAGATTTTTTTAGATAAAATCGTGAAGTTTAAAAACCAAATA